GCATTTTGGGAAGCTAATTCGAATATTTAACGTTTGTGAAAAATAATGCGAAAAGTACCAATATGAAGTTGATTCGTAGCCAATATTTACTGTAAAGAATAGAAATAGAAGTATATAAATATTTTAGTAAAATAAGGCCATATTAATGGGGATTTTGCACATCTTGTGTGACAATTTAAATTTAAGTCCAGTATACAATTAAAAATATATCATTTGAAAAAGCATACTTGTATTGGTAAAACTGGAAAATTCGAAGTGGTTTTGATAAAACCCCACAAAGGCAGAGCTTGAGCTACCTGTGTTTTGCAGGGGATGTTTACACAAACATGCAGGCGTTCTTCGTATTACCGATCGCGTAAGACTAAGTATGAACATTGAAGCGAGTGGATTACTTTCACTTTGGCGTTGTCTACCTTTGCTTAGTTAGGAATGACGCCATAAAAATTCATTCTTTTCAAGCCATTTTAAACTTCAAAAATCTAAAAGCGCAAATATCTGTTTGCTCAAAGATCTATCTTGTGTTTGTGACTGCCTACGACTCGGCTACATCGTCTGGAATATCGTAAAACCTTGGGTAAATGCGCCAGTATACCAGGGAGGAAGTGGAGTGCTTCCTGTTTGCTGTTTCGTTGGGCCTTCATCGTCGTGCTCTGTCCCTTTGAAGACTACAAGAGATAAGTACACACGAGTATATATTTTATCTTAGCAAAAAAGATGAAGTAGCTCCACTGCAATTTATAATTATCTGAAGCAACGAAGTGCTGTGAAATCAATTTATGGTCATGTCTATCTTCGATGTTGATCTAGCTACTCTGCATAATGACTGCAACTTAAGCCACACATTCTCGCAGTTTTCCATAGACACGCTGTCTCCGAATAAGCTCGAAAGATTTTTGGGAGAAGATTGCTTATGCACCTTAAATGAAATACTTTTCAACTTAACATTGGAGAATATAGACTACAGTAATCAATCCCAACTTCTGTTCTTAACTCAGTTGGCAAATAAGCGCTTCCACTCGACATGCTTTACTGACTCTGACCTCAAAATTTATTTTTCAAATTGGAATGTCGAACAGCTTAAGAAATTCGCTTCGAGAGTTATAAATGAAGCAAGTGAGATCCCATTTGATATGAAACTTGAGTTTGCTTGCCTTGCGGGAAAGCATCAACGTGTTGAAGATCTTCTGAAAGAATTCGAAAAACATACCACAAATCTCGAGAAAAAGAATATGTTGATATTCTATGGGATCTCGTGCGAAAAGATTGTAGATGTTCTTATCAACAGTGGGGTAGATATCAATAAAACAGATGCTCGCAAAAGAACCCCTATATTTTATGCCTTAATAAGCTCCTTGGACTCGGCAAAGAAGCTTCTCAACAAAGGTGTGAAAGTGACTAGAAGAGATCAATGCGGTGTAAGTGTCTTAACATTTCTTGCTGAAAATATGTTAAGAAATAATTTGCCGGTCCATGACAAAGGCAAAGAAATACAGCTTCTTTTTCAGGAAGGAATAACACGAGATCAGTTTGTCAAACAAGTTATAAACTTGATTTTATGCAAGTTTATCCAAGTTCTCGGTACTATGCAACAAGCGTTGAATCCAGATGGCAATCATATTAATCCCCGCACACTGTCCAAAACCCTCAATTTGATTTGGAGCCAAACAAACGATGGCGCACACGATGATGACAGAAACAGCCTAATTGGCCAACTTGGAAGTATGCAACAACGAGTTACTCCAAAGGACTTTGCTGTAAACGTGCTCCAAACCTTTTGCAAACTTGGCGCAGAGTCATCATTTCCAGATTCGGAAGGAAACATCTGTCTTCACTATGCAACCCAATTGCTGTTCTATGGTGTGCCTGAAAAGACAGTGACAAAGCTTTGTCGTGAGCTCATAAAAAGCAATGCTCAGTCAGTGGAAGCGAAAAATTACAAGAAGGAAACACCGCTTTTATTTTGTTTGTCTTCAAAATATTTAATGGCCTGCAGCGAAACAGGTAATTGGTCAGGATGTCTACAGAACGTATGCAGGCTGCTAATGGAAAAAGGGTCAGAGTTGTGTGATACAACACACAAAGAAGAGTCTGCATTTCAGTTGATTCTCAAACTTTGCCAATATGCCATTCTCTTACAAGATGAAAACAGAAAACGTTGCATAGTTGAGGAAATGCTTAACATCTTAGAAATGTTCTCCGAGAATGAAAAACGCCCCGCTGCTGTTAATAACGGTGATATATATGCTAACAGGCCACTTCACCGTTGGGCATCATTGGCAATGAAGTCACCCAGTCATTACTATGAAAAGGCTTACGGAGCAGCAGTAAGGGGGACTCGCGGAATCCAAAACACTAAGCATCGAATTTCACGGGTATTACCCGCGTCTCAGGCCCCTCCAAAAACATGCGTCGGCAGTGGGTATTACCCGCGCGATGATTCCCTTACTGCTGCTGTGTTAAAATATTCGTCTTATATATGCATGATTGTAAAGAGTTTGTTTATGACTTCTGTGTAAAGTGTTTGAGGCCTAAGTTTGTACCTACTAAACCGAATAAGTATATTTGCTGTGGTAAGAAAATGCGAATAGAAGACGACACGTCAGCACAGTGTTACGAGTGTGGTAAGAATATTCGTAATGCCGTGCCTTGTGCTACCAGGGAACAATATTACTCTAACGGAGGTCGTAAGAAGACTCCATACAAAAGAATAAAATACTTCAGAGACTGGATGAGTCATATTCAAGGTCATCGGCCGGTATATTTAGACGACGAAGTAATGGAAAGAATTATAGGTCATTTAGAAGAACCAACGCCACAAAGCCTACGGAAAACGCTGAAAAAACTAAAACTAGGGAAATATTACAAAGCTATTCCCTATCTTTTGTCTGAAATTACCGGTAACTCTATTCCCGAGGTTTCTGATATGAGCAGAGCCGAGTGGATGTTTTGTCGGCTGGATAAGGATATTCCTTATTATCCTAATGTAATTTACGAAATATTTTACAAAATAAACCCCAACCACCCTCTGTTAGGATGGATTCCGAGAAAATAAAAATGCAAAACTGGCGTTTTACCAGAAACCCCACTGGGGAATGCATCGCGCAGAACACCAAGCTATCCCCAGTGGGGTTTTTTGCATTTTGGGCTTACGAGGCATATTTCATCCCGCGCCAGAGGCCCTCTAGTACACACATATATCTTTCTTACGGCCCCCCAGAGGGTGAACTCCGGACAGCGTCCCGAGACACCCCCTGACTTTTCCAACTTTTCTAATTGCGTTGAATCGCACTTTCTTAATATAATGAATCAATCATTGCAATCATAACATCCATTATATATACTAATGTACGACGCTTTTGGGAATGATATTGAGGAGCAGCCACATCATGACAACAGGGATTATGCTAACTGGAGGGCCTTTAGGAAGATGTTTCCGCGTGCAGACGCCAGTAAGTTTGAGCGTAGGCCTGACGGGATTTACTTCAACGGCTCCAGAATGTATAGCAATGCCGACTTGGAACCGAAGGTGTCCGCCAAACATCCTAAGACGGTAGAAAAGGAGCCCAACTTCCCAAAAAATCTACTAACGACAACAGAGGATTATCCATTTTACGACAACAAAGGCGGGGCGGAGGACTTTGCTAAGATGGTTACCTCCTTAGAAATTCCCGTGGGTCCTACGACTTTTAAGACAAAAGTAAGAGACATCTTTAGAGAGACTCGGATGAAGCACACGTCGGGGAAAGAATCCAGAGAATGGTTATCAGGCCCCAGCATGCGCTATTGGCCGCAGCAGTTAAACTTTGCTGTCTGGGCTGCTACTAAAGGATGTGGTATAGCCGCGGATATGCTTCATATTCCTTTCCTGAGATTTCACGTTGC